AAAACTGAGCTAAGCTAAACTAAGCTAAGCTAAGCTAAGCTACAGCTGAGCGAAGCTAAGATGAAGCTAGCCTGAGCTAAGCTAAGTTAAGCTAAGCTAAGATGAGATAGGCAACGCTAAGGGGACGTAACTGTGGGAACCGCGGGGCGGGGACTGGGGGAACCACCCGGGGCGCTTTCCACTGCCCGACCCCTTTAAGCGAAGAGAGTAAGAACCCTTCTAGGCAGAGCCTAGGTAGGGAACTAAAGCTAATCTAGAGCTAAGCTAGAGCTAAACTAAAGCTAAGCTAAAACTAAGCTAAAGCTAAGTAGACGCTAAGCTGAAACTAAGCTGAAGCTAAGCTGAAGCTAAGCTAAAGCTAAGCTATAGCTAAGCTGACGCTGAGCTACAGCTAAGCTAACACTACACTAAAGTTTAGCTGAAGCTAAGCTAAAGCTAAGCTAAAGCTAAGCTAAAGCTAAGCTAAAGCTAAGCTAACGCTAAGCTACAGCAAAGCTAAAGCTAAGCTACACATAAGCTAAAGCTAAGCTAACGCTAAGCTAAAGCTAAGCTACACCTAAGCAAAAGCTAAGCTAAAGCTAAGCTAAACTAAGCTACGATAAGCTGAGCTACAGCTAAGCGAAGCTAATATGAAGGTAAGCTGAGCTAAGCTAAGCTAAGATAAGCTAAGATGAGATAAGCAACGCTAAGCTAAGGGAACGTCACTGGGGGAACCGCGGGGCGGATCCTGGGGGAACCGCCCGGCGCGGGCAACACTGCCCGCCCCTTTTAAGCATACACAATAAGAACCCTTCTAGGCGGAGCCTAGGTAGGGAATAAACCTGAGCTGAGATGAAGCTAAGCTGGGCTAAAATTAAATAAGCTAAGCTATGATGAGATAAGCAACGCTAAGCTAAGGGAACGTCACTGGGGGAACCGCGGGGCGGATCCTGGGGGAACCGCGCGGGGCGTGGAACACTGCCCGGCCCTTTGAGCCAACACGGTAAGAACCCTTCTAGGCAGAGCCTAGGAAGAACCCTTCTAGGCAGAGCCTAGGTAGAGAATGAAGGTAAGCTAATCTAAGATAAACCTGAGCTAAGATGAAGCTAAACTAAGCTAAAATGAAATAAGCTAAGCTAAGAAGATCTAAGCAACGCTAAGCTAAGCTAAGATGAGCGAATCATTAGATAAGCTAAGATGAAATAAGCAAGCTACGATGTGATAAGCTATTTTAAGATGAGGTAAGATGATATACGCAACGCTAAGCTATGCTAATATAAGCTAAGCTAAGATGAGATAAGCAACGCTAATCGAAGCTAAGCTGAGCTAAAATGGATAAGCTAAGCTAAGATGAGATAAGCTAAGCTAAGATGTGCCAAGCTAAACTGGGGGAACCGCGGAGCGGATGCCAGGGGAACCGCCTGGGGCGTGGAACACTGCCTGGCCCTTTAAGCTTATACAATAAGAACCCTTCTAGGCAGAGCCTAGGTAGGGAAAAACAGGAATCAAGTCCAGGAGGGCTGGAACACACCAAGTTTCGGACGTCTGGGTCCACAGGCCACTTCCTCTCGCCTGATCATCCTCCACCTACCTCGTCCTCTCTCTCTCTCTCGTTCTTCTACTCTCCTCCGCCTCCCTCTCATCCTCCTCTTCCTCATTATCATGCTCCTCCTCCTCTTCCTCCTCCTCCCTCCCCTCCGATGATGACGATGCCATTCGTACGGATATTCAGACAACACGTAACAAAAATCCGCCAGCCCCCTTGTGGGGCCACCAGGCTGTAGGGCAAATGTTCGCAGTTTCCTGTACCAGTTGCAGCTTCCAGTTTCCACTGTTACAGTTCTGCTTCTTGCTGCTTACTGTTCCTTGTTGACGTCTTGCTGCTTACTGTTCCTTGTTGATGGACCGCGCGAGGGGAGGAGGCCCAAAACGGGCACTTCTACCACGCCCAAATCGTATTGTCTGAATTGCTGGGGTGGGTAAAAGTTGACACCCCTCACGCAGATCGGCGGGGTCAGGGTCCAAAAACAAAAAAGATTTGTTGCCACATTCCTAACATTCGGTGGCACCCCTCACGCAGATCGGCGAAGTCAGGGTCCAAACGCACAGGGGATTTGCCACGCTTCTGAAATCTGGTGGCACCCCTCACGCAGATCGGCGGGGTCAGGGTCCAAAAACACATGGGATTTGCCACATTTCTGACATTCGGTGGCACCCCTCAAACAGATCGGCGGGGTCAGGGTCCAAAAACACAAGGAATTTGCCACATTTCTGAAATTCGGCGGCACCCCTCACGCAGATCGGCGGGGTCAGGGTCCAAAAACAAAAAGGATTTGTTGCCACATTTCTGCCATTCGGAGGCACTCCTCACGCAGATCGGCGGGGTCAGGGTCCAAAAACATATGGGATTTACCACATTTCAGAAATTCGGCGGCACCCCTCACGCAGATCGGCGGGGTCAGGTGCAAAAACAAAGGGAGTTGCCACATTTCTGATATTCGGTGGCACTCCTCACGCAGATCGGCGGGGTCAGGGTCCAAAAACACAAGGCCACATTTCTGATACTCGGTGGCACCCCTCACGCAGATCCGTAGGGTCAGGGTCGAAAAACATAAGGGATGTGCCACATTTCTGAAATTCGGCGGCACCCCTCACGCAGATCCAAAGGGTCAGGGTCCAAAAACACAAGGGATTTGCCACATGTCTGAAATTGGGCGGCACCCCTCACGCAGATCCGTAGGGTCAGGGTCGAAAAACATAAGGGATGTGAACACATTTCTGAAATCCGGTGGCACCCGTGACGCAGATCCGTAGGGTCAGGGTCGAACAACAAACAGGTCCCGACACTGCTTCACGCCGGCGCCCAGACGTCATGATTTAGATCTTCCATGGCCTATTCTCCGAGAGAGGGGGCCGGCGGCAGGGGGCGAGGCCCTTACGGATAATCAGTGCTAGGCCAGCGCCTACGAAGCAAATCCCACACCGACCTCGTGCTTACGCGAAGCCCCGCTTGGGAGGGCCCTCACCTGCGAGGGCCAACGATTCACGCCCTGGGAGGAGGGAGGGGTAGTGAGAGGCGCAACGGTGGTTTGTGCTGCATCCCCAGGGAACCCAGCCAGGCGACCCAACCTATGCCCCCTCGTCCTGCTACTCATTGGACCCTCTCTCTCGCAGCTGCTCAGTCCAGGTCCGAGTCAGACCCAAAGCGGAGCCCTTTGGCCCTGCTATTCTTCTGCCGCTAGACGTGGCCATGAGCCCAACGCGACTCCTTCCATGTGTTGCTCCCCTTCCCATCTCCACCTCCTCCTCCTCCTCCTCCTCCTCCTCCTCCTCCTCCTCCTGTCTCCCCCTCCTCCTGCTCCTCCTCCTGTCTCCGCCTCCTCCTGCTCCTCCAACTTCTCCTCCTCCTCCTCCTCCTCCTCTCCTCCTCCTCCTCCTCCTCCGTCTCCCCCTCCTCCTGCTCCTCCTCCTGTCTCCTCCTCCTCCTCCTCCTCCTCCTCCCTCCTCCTGTCTCCGCCTCCTCCTGCTCCTCCTCCTGCTCCCCCTCCTCCATCTCCATCCCCTGTCCTCCCCTCTCCCCTCGAGCGCACCTCGGCAAGCTCGAGGTCTCGGAGGACGTAGGGCGTCGGGGACTTGAAGAGGAACACGTCGAGGTCCAGCCACATCACGTCGAGGCCATCGGCGAGCAGAACCGCGGAGGCGACGACGACGACAACGACGACGACGACGACGACGACGACGACGACGACGACGACGCGCGCCGGCGGCAACGACGACGACGACGGCGATGACGACGACGACGACGACGACGACGGCGTCGGCGACGACGACGACGACGACGACGGCGACGGCGACAACGACGACGGCGATGCCGCCGAGGACGACCATAACGAGGACGAGGACGAGGAGGACGGCGAGGACGACGAGGACAAGGGTGGGGACTGGTCGACTGATTCACCGACACGCCGCTACCCTGGGGGATCCCCGACGTGGACAAGAGCCACACCGCATCCGGAGGGCGGCGAGGATGAGAAGCAGGGGGACGCAGGAGACAGAACAGCAGCCGGAGAGCAGCAGCAGAGGGGTGGACGAGGAAACGATCCCACGGAGGGGTGGGCGATGAGTCCACCACGGAAGCAGCGAGGGGCAGACGCCTGCCACGAGAGCGTGGACAAACTCGTACCATGGCCACAAGACTGCGACTCGAGAACGCGAGCCCCTTCGCCGAACGCCACAGGGCCCATGGATTTAAAACGAAGAGCGCTCCGAGGCGGAGAGCACCGGCACGAATAGCAGAGGGTGCCCCATCCCAAGCCAGGGCCGTTCTTGATCCAGGGCCAGCTGTCATCGAGGAGCAGCAGGTGTCAGGAACATAAGAAATCCGCGCATCGGCGCTGGAGCCCCCCTGTCAGCGCCCCCAGGCGGGGGCCCCGGCGCGCTCCGCGCGCCAGGGAGGGTCGGCGGTCGACAAACCTCCCTTTAGTAAACCTCCCCTTAGTGACAAGCGCTTGAGACCGAAACCGACGGACCTGGAACCCGCGAAAATGACGGCCGCGACGCCCCCTCGCGAACTGCAAACGGCCAATTCCTTAATCGACGCGTCAGGGTAGGAGGTCTGTCCAACCCCGAGAGGGAGGTTTGGGTGTCCCAAAAGCGTGTGGTGACAGACCCGGCGGTGACCTCGAAATCCGCAAAGACCTCACCGCACGGTCCGGCACCACACGGTTTTGGGACCCTGGAGGCCCCAGTCGCCCGAGACATCCTCGAAGAACGACCCGAGCCCCACAAACCGTGCGGCGACCCCGAATCCCCGCCGACTCACCACACGGTGTGGTCACCACCCCGTTTGGGAGCCCCCGCGCTCACACAGTTTGGCGCTCCTCCCACGGGGGGGCCCTGCACGTGGGCCGGGGCACGGGCACGCGCGCCCTGCGAACGACAGCGACCGCCGACTGCTCCACGCGCGGGCCGCCGCAAGCCTTCTCCTCGCGCAGCCAGGCCTCGCGAGCGGCCACGCCGCCTCACCCCATCGCCGATCCAACAGCTCCGCGCGGACCTCCGGGAGCGTTCGCCCGTGGCAGGGCCTGCGCCTCGACGCGCGGCAGGCAGAGAGCGGCCGGGGCCTGCCGCCTCGGCGCCGCTTTGCGGGGCGGAGCGGGCCCGCGCGCATCGCGGCACGGGCACGGCCGACGGCGTCGGGGGCGGCCAAGGAGGGGGGGCGTCCAAGGAGGGAGGGGGCGCAAATCATGGAATTCCCCCCCTGCCCCCTTCACCCCCTGTCGAAACGGAATTTCAAATTTCACCCGGAGGGGGGGCGTCCAAGAGGGAGGGGGCGCAGATCATGGACGGCGGCACGTGCGCGGCTACACTCGCCATCGCTCGGACGTCGTCGTCGTCGTCGTCGCCGTCGCCGTCGCCGTCGCCGTCGCCGTCGCCGCCGCCGTCGTCGTCGTCGTCGTCGTCGTCGTCGTCGTCGTCGTCGTCGTCGTCGTCGTCAGTCGCCGTCATCGCTCGGACGTCGTCGTCGTCGTCGTCGTCGCCGTCGTCGTGCGTGCACTCTGGCACCGCTCGGACGTCGCCGTCGCCGTCGCCGTCGCCGTCGCCGTCGCCGTCGCCGTCGCCGTCGCCGTCGCCGTCGCCGTCGTCGTCGTCGTCGTCGTCGTCGTCGTCGTTGTCGTCAGTCGCCGTCATCGCTCGGACGTCGTCGTCGTCGTCGTCGTCGTCGCCGTCGTCGTGCGTGCGCTCCGCTCTTCGATCTCGTGCGTGCGTGTGCCGGGCCCGCGGCGGCGGCCACAGCGCGCGCCCAGGCCGCCGAGGTGGCCGCCAGCCGCGGCGCCCACGGCGGCGTCGGCGCCCACGGCGGCGTCGGCGCCGGCGTCGGCGTCGGCGTCGGCATCGGCGTCGGCGTCGGCGTCGGCGTCGGCGTCGTCGTCGTCGTCGTCGTCGTCGTCGTCGTCGTCGTCGTCGTCGTCGTCGTCGTCATCGTCGCCGTCGCCGTCGCCGTCGCCGTCGTCGCCGCCGACGTTGTCGTCGCCGTCGTCGTCGTGCAGACAGACACATGTGGCACATCTGTACATGTAGATGGGTGCACACACGTGCCCCTGACCAGGCACACGCAGAGAGAGCGAGAGACAGAGAGAGAGAGAGAGACAGACAGACACAGACAGGCACACGACTGGACCAACAGACGAGCGAAGCTGAACAAAAGTGCGGCAACCAATGGCAGCGTGAACTTGTTGAGGATGGAGGGCTCCCCGTGGATGCAGTGGGCGGCAGCCTCCACGCACTGCCCGTAGGCCTCCTCGTCCAGGCAGAAGATGACGAGGTTGCCATCGATACCCTGCCCTCACTAGCCGCATTATCACCGTCGTCCCTGGGGAAAGCAGAAGGCAACGAAACCGCTACTCCACGGACCCCTGCCAGGCTGCGTTCTGACGAGGATTTCGAGGCGGATCCAGCGGTGGCGACAAGGGCCTCCCAGGAGGCACAAAAGAGGGGGAACCGAAGCGGCATCGGTACCTTTTCCTCCTCCGAGTCTAAAACGACGCGAAGATCGGGACAAAATCGGATCGGGATAACTCGAAATCTCTGAGAATCGGCGGGCTGGGAGGATGTATTGGGCGCCGCGGCCGCTCCAGAGCGTTCTGGAACGCTCTGAGAGCGCTCCGGAACGCTCTGGAGCGATTTATCCCGATCCTAGCCTCGTTTTAGAGTCCCCAGTCCTCCCTGCTGCCGCTGGCGGAGCCTCCACCCTGGTCTGCACCCACGCGAGCTCCGGACTCGCACCGCCTCCTCTGCGTGCTCTCCACGCTCCCCATGGGCTCGCGCGTCTGCGCGCGCACGGGGCCGCCGTGGCGCACTCCAGGCTCGGGCCTCTCCGCCGCGCCTTCCCGGGTGCGCGGAGGGCTGGCGCGTGGAGTGTGCTCTGGACCAGGAGGTGAGAGGCGGAGGAGGAGGAGGGGGAGGAGGAGGAGGAGGAGGAGGAGGAGGAGGAGGAGGAGGAGGAGGAGGAGGAGGAGGAGGAGGAAGAGGAGGAGGAGGAGGAGGAGGAGGAGGAGGAGGAGGGGGGGGAGGAAGAGGAGGACCAGTGCAAACCCAAGAGTCAACGACGATGTTGGAATAGACCCTCCCTCCAAGCTCCCTTTTCATAGGCCCCTACATCGGTTCATGTCCATTGGGGGAACTGCCTCGCTGGAAGAGAACCATTTAAAGACCCTGAAGCATGCCAAAACAGTGTTCTCGGGATCCTAAAGCCACGGATCACCCTGACTGTTGCGTTTTCACAAACCTTGAAACTCTTTGCAAAATATATATAAACGAATGTGCGCGGCGCTACGGCGGGAGCCACACTTTGAAAAGGAAACGCCGTCAATCCATGAAACTCTTGCAAATTGTAAGCACGAATGTGCGCGGCGCTATGGCGAGATCCATATTTAGACAACGGGCCGCCCTCAATCCGCAAAAACTCGTGCAATGTTGTAAACAAATGTGCGTGGCGCTACGGCGGGAGCCACACTTTGAAAACGGGTCGCCCTCGATCCGTGCAGTTCTTGCAAATTGTATAAACATATGTGCGCGGCGCCAAGGCGATAGCCACATTTAGAAAAAGGGTCGCCCTCAAGTCGTGAAACTCCTGAAATCTTTTCACCAAAAAACATTTGTGCGCGGCGATAAGGCGAGAGCCACATTTTGAAAACCACCCGCCCTCCATCTGTGAAGCTGTTGCCAATTTCTAAGCTTCAGAGTGGTAAGTGGCAAGTCTCAGGCGAAACGCTCGGCCCGGCATAAAAACTGGCCTTGGGGTGCGACAGGGGGAAGTCATTTCCAAGGTGAAGGCATGGAGGAGGACGCGAAGGACGAGGAGGAGGCGGAGGCGGAGGCGGAGGAGGAGGCGGAGGAAGAGGAGGGCCCATAGCCATCATGGCTCAAGGCATTGCCCTAATCAAACGGGGCGCGGCGCCCCCCCAACCGCCCGCGCCCCGCCCCGCAGGACGATACCCGCCCGCCCGCTCGATCGCCAGCCGCCGCGGCTGCTTCGCCCGCGCACGCTCTGTGGTTTCTGAAGTGCTCCAGGTCGTCGTCGTCGTCGTCGTCGTCCTCCATCGGTGCGAAGTTTCCGTTGGGGTCGCCCTTGTGCGCATGCAGCCCTGCACGCGTCTGTGCTGTCGTGTGCAGGTTGCCCGTGCCGAAGATCAGGCTGTCGTTGTTGTGGGCGCAGGACAGCAGTGAGGTGCCTCGCGGGTCTTCATGACGCTGCCGTTCTCGAGCCCGCGGCGTCGCACACGTTCCTCATGTGAGTCTTGGAACGGTTTGCGTTCCTCCCGGCGTTTTCGAATCCGTATTCCTGTAGACCTGCACAGACATTACCTTGTGGATCTGCTGGAAATTGGCCAGATCCTGCCCGTCGTGGTCCTGTCTGCGGTAGATCAAGTCGTTTTCGGCCATCTCCTTGGCTCTCTCCCATGGTACCGCTGCGACGGGGGCCCTCTTGTCTGTCATGTCCCTGTCGGCGCCGTCGCGGTTGACCTTGCGCCACATTGCTGTGCGGTACTACGGCACGTGAGTGGGCCTCGCTGACCAGTGGCCAACAGGGTCGTCCGTGTTGGGCGTCGTGCGGTTCCTGGTGAAAAAGCTCCAGAACACATCGGAGGCGCTGGTCGACACACATCTATCCCAGCGTGTAGCGGTGGCCGTACGCGTGATGACTTGCACGAATACGGGTCCCAACTCCAGCGCTGCGTAAACAGATTCCTGGGTGACGACTGCTAGATCGATGTCGAAGGCGTCTTGTCGGGTGCTCGTGCAGCTGGTGCTGCGAAGAATGAGTCGAGATCGCTGCACCCCGGTGGCTTGCAATTGAAGAGTTCCATCCCTTCTCTAAGTCACTGGCAGTGCAGAACCCGTGGTTGATCCTGCTGCTGGAACTTGAATGCTGTACTGGGGCGCAGCGTCCTCTCTGTCATGCTTGTCGACTTGTGCTGCACGGTGAGCGTTCTGTACGGATCGGTCCTTCGTCCCTTGTGCGATATTCCCATCCGCGTGGCGCGCGACAATGATCTTCGGCAGTCGGTCAGAAACCTTTTAGTCGATGGTGGCGTCGCGTAGGTCGATTGCGTTGGCCAGCTCTCTCCTCCATTGGAGATCCACTGGCCGTCCCATCGCAGTTCGACTTGTGAGTAGCGCAGAATGCGCTCGATGTAGCCTGGCAAGTGTGGACAAGTCCCAATCCTTTGGTCCTAAAGTTTTGCGCTAAAACGGCTGCCGACTCCTCCACTTCCTCTTCTTCCTCCAACTGCCTGCCCCTTCCATCGCCTCCCTCGCCTCCTTCCAGCCTTCCTACTCCGCCTCCGCGCCCTCCTCCTGGCCTTCGTCCCCCCTCCTCCTCCTCCTCCTCCTCCTCCTCCTCCTCCTCCTCCTCCTCCTCCTCCTCCTCCTCCTCCTCCTCCTCCCTGACATGTCCGTAGCCTTATCGTCCATCCTCCTCCTCCTCCTCCTCTCCTACCTCCTCCTCCCCCCCTCCTCCTTCTCCTCCTCTCCTCCTCCTCCTCCTCCTGCTCTCCTCCGCCTCCTCCTCCTCCTCCTCCTCCTCCTCCTCCTCCTCCTCTGCCTCCCCTTTATCCACCTGTCCATCATCCCCCCCCGCGCGCCAACGCGCGCGCCCTGGACACGAATCTGCCGACGTACGGGCTGAAGCTGGCCCCGTACGCCATGGTGGCGTAGACGATGCGCAGGCCCAGAGCCCTGTGGGGAAAGCTGGCGGTCGCGAGGCGGGCAGCAAGCGGGGAGGGCAGAGGAGCAGGAGAGCATCCCAGCGGGGAGGAAGGCCCCCACTCTGATCCTCCCCCTCCTCGCCATTATCATCCTCCTCCTCCTCGTCCTCCTCCTCTTCCTCCTCCTCCTCCTGCTCCTCCTACCGTCCTCCTCTCCTCTAACATTGTCACGTAGTCATTATCGTGCTCCTCCTCCTCCTCCTCCTCCTCCTCCTCCTCCTCCTCCTCCTCCTCCTCCTCCTCCTCCTCCCCCTCCTCCTGTCTCCTCCTCGATTCCATCCTGGGGGACACCGGCGGACAGCCGCAGCTCGAACGAATGAACCTGGTACGCGGCTTGCCTTCATGTGCGGCAATCCGATCTGCCACCGCCTGGGATGACACGGAGATCCGTTACAGAATCGCGGCGGGGTGCCGAAGTGGATTGGCTCCTGAAGAATACCCTCCAGCCCCGCAGCCGCGATGGGCGTATGATTTAACATTCCACTGTGACGCACCCAACCCATCTGCAGCAAATGAGAAGAGGAGGAGTTCCAGAATGTTACGGCTGATGCCAACACTGGGTGTGTCATGGGTTGTGCGAGCTATATGGGAAGCGCGCGCGTTGCGCGCCTTGTAGGGTACCAACAGCATGACGAGGACTGAAGCATCAGGCTCGAAGAAGTGGGGATTGGGAACGACGGGGGGGGAAACGACGGAAGGGGGGCCGAACAGTGAACGCGACAGCATCAGGGAGACGGCGGAATGAGGAAGGGGACCACCACGAAAATGGCATGATGATGGAAAAGGAGGCGGCTATCATTTCCCAATGACGCGCTGGACAAGCAGCGAGGCCCGCGCCGTGCCGTTGTTGCGTTCTCAATCATCAACTGTTCATAGCTAGTGTTATGTTGCTCCCATCGTACTTAAGGACCACATCCAAGAAATAATTTCGAGCACCCGGAAAAGTGTCGAAAGAGTATCGAAATAGTGTCGAAACAGTGTCGGACGAGTGTCTCCCAGGGCCCGACACGTGAAAACCATAGAATTTCGGGATTTTTCGGGTGCTCGGAATTCTTTCTCGTGATCAAGGCTAAAAGTAGGTTGGCACATCATAAAGCTAGTGCAGGAAACGAGCGAAGCCGAGCTCGCCCGCCAGGTTCCCCGCCTCCTCCCGGCACCCTGCACTGCGGGAGCCACGCGCCCGCAAGCGCGCCGCTGTGTCTCCGGGCGACCCGCGGGGAAGGAAATTGAGGCGAGTCTGTGCGGGACGTCGGTGGGCTGGGCCCGGTGGCGACGTCAGCGTGGGACGTCAGTAGTCTGTGTGGGACGTCAGTGGTCTGTGTGGGACTTCAGTAGTCCGTGTGGGACGTCAGTAGTCTGTGGACCCGGAAATCAAAGCGAGCCTGTGTGGGACGTCAGTAGTCTGTGTGGGACGTCAGTCAGCAAACCTCGAAAGTGGCGACGGTTTCGCAGTTCGAAGCCCCCCCCAGGGATGGGGAGGTCAAGTCTGAAACTGCGTAGGGCGTAGGGCGTCGCTGAGCTGGACACCGCAGCAGCCCTCGAAAATGGCAACGGTTTCGCGGTTCGCTGCCCCCCTTCAGGGATAGCGAGGTCCGGAATAAATCCGCGTACGACGTCGCCCCGCTGGGCCCCCCCAGCAACCCTGCAGGACTGTAGACATTCTTGCAGGTCGCAGCCCCCCAGGGACGGCGAGGTCGAATTTCAGTCTGCGTATTACGTCGTTCCGCTGGCCCCCCGAGACGCCCTCGAAAGTGGCGACAGTCTCGCTGTTCGACCCCCCCCCAGAACGGCGAGGTCTAGTCTGAGTCTGTGTAAGAAGTCGCTCAGCTGGGCCCACCCAGCAAATCGGGAAAGTGGCGACAGCTTCGCAGATCGCAGCTCCCCCGTGACGGCGAGGTCTATCTGAGTCTGCGTATGAAGTCACTCCGCTGGCCCCCAAGCAGTTCTCGAACATGTCGACGGCTTCGCAAATCACAGCCCCCCAGGGATGGCGAGGTCCAGTCTGAATCTGCGTATGACGTCATTCCGCTGGCCCCCCCAGCAACCCCCGAAAGTGGCGACATGTTCGCCGATCGCAGTAACCCAGGGACGGCGAAGTCAAATTTGGGTTTGCGTTAGACACCACTCCGCTGGACCCCCAGCAACCCTGCAAAAATGGAAACCGTTTCGCAATTCGACCCCCCCCTCCTGGGATGGCGAGGTCTAGTCTGAATCTGCGTATTAAGTCACTCCGCTGGGCCCCCCGAGCAACCCTCGAAAGTGGCGACCGCTTCGCAGATCGCAGCCCACTCAGGAGTGGCGAGGTCGAATCTGGGTCTTCGTTTGAAGTCAGCCCGCTGCCCCCCCCCCCCGCAACCCTCGAAAGTGGGACCCGCTTCGCAGATCGCACGCGAGGCCTAGCCTGAGTCTGCCTATGACGTCACTCCGCTGGACCCCCAATAGCCCTCCAGAGTGGCGGCGACAGCTTCGCAGTTCGTACTCACTTGGGATGGCGATGAGGCAGGGCATCATGCAAGTAGGAGGCAGGGCACGAGGCAGACAGGAAGCAGAGTGGCAGGCAGGCAGGAGGGGGGTGACAGAAGGGGGGAGGCGGGAAGGCACGTGGAGGCCGCAGTGCTGTATACAAAATGAGAACCCAACGCAGGAGGGTTGGGATATTACCATGGCGATGTACACGTCGTTCACTTCTAATCGTGCTCGTTTCTAAGTGTTCCTGGCCCCCTAGTGGTCAGGAAGAGGCCCAGGATAGAACAATTAGAAACGAAAGGATCTTGCCCCCCAAATAATCAAGGAACTTTCGAAGCATTGGAAATGAACAATGTGTACCCAGCCCTTACGCAATTCGTGGGAAGCATCGCTGGGTAGACTTACAGGGGGTGAGGCCGTGACAGCGAGCACATTTTCTGCGAGCGTTTATTGAGGCTCGCGAGCTGCGCGAGCCGCAGGACACCGATCGATGGACAAAGGCTCGATGGAAATGAATCGGTATCCCCCTGGGCCCGAAAGGAAGGAAGTGTGACGACTTAGAGGAAAAGGCGGCCGATGACCTTGAACAATCGGCGGGACAGCAGCAAGAGGATATGGCAACAGGAAGGAAGGGCGTGGCGACGAGAGAAACGCATAGGAAGGAGAGAGATCACGTTTCGAGGCACACCACCCATCAGCAAGAAGCGCGCGAGGCTGGCGATGCTTCAACCCCTAGCGGCCCTCGCAGGTGGCGACCACCCCCAGCAGCCCTAGAAACGGGCGACAGGCTCGTCGATCGCTGCCACCCCAGACTGGAGAAATCTAGTGTGAATCCGCGTGAGACGTCACTGCGGTGGCCCCTCCAGCAGCCTTCGAACGTGCGACTGTTTCGCTGTTCGCAGCCCCCCACCCCCCAAGGGTGGTGAGGTCTGCTGGGAATCCGCATATGGCGCCACTGTGCTGCCCCCCCCCCCCCAGCAGGCCTCGAAAGTGGCGACAGCTTTGCAGATCGCATAGGGATGGCGAGGTCTAATCTGCGTCCACATGTGGCGTCTCTGTGCTGCCCCCGACAGCAGCCCCCGAAAATGGCGACAGCTTCGCAGATCGCAGCTCCCCAGGGACGGCCAGGTCAAATATGAATTCGCGTATGGCGTCACTGTGCTGCCACCCCCCCCACCCAGCAGCCCTCGCAAGTGGCGACAGCTTCTCAGATCGCAGCCACCCAGGGACGGCCAGTTCTAATCTGAATTCGCGAATGGCGTCACTGTGCTGGCCCCCCCCCAGCAGCCCTCGCAAGTGGCGACAGCTTCGCAGATCGCAGCCCCCCAGGGACGGCCAGGTCTAATATGAATTCGCGTATGGCGTCACTGTGCTGCCCCCCCCCCCCAGCAGCCCTCGCAAGTAGCGACAGCTTCGCAGATCGCAGCCCCCCAGGGATGGCGAGGTCTAGTCTGAGTCCGCGTATCGCGACACTGTGCTGCCCCCCCGCTCCCAAACAGCCCTCGAAGCGACAGCTTCGCAGATCGCAGCCACCCCGGGATGGCGAGGGTCAATTTCAGTCCGCGTGTGGTGTCACTGTGCTGACCCCCCAGGCAGCCCTCGAAAATGGCGGTAATGACGCAGATCGCAGCCCCCCCAGGGATGGCGATGTCTCATCTGGGTCCGCGTGTGGCGTCTGTGTTCTGTCCCCCCCCACTCCCCAGCAGCCCTCGGAAGTGGCGACAGTTTCGCAGTTCGCAGCCCCCCCACGGGGTGGCGAGATCTAACTGTGAATCCGCGTATGGCGTCACTGTGCTGCCCCCCCCCCCAGCAGCCCACGAACGAAAGTAGCGAAAGTTTCGCAGATCGCAGCCCCCGGGACGCGACCACCGTGCTCTGTTCAAAACGAGAACCCAACAACGGAGGGTGGAGAAAGAATGACAGGAGAGAGAGAGAGAGAGAGAGAGAGAGAGAAAAAGAGAGAGAGAGAGAGAGAGAAAGAGAGAGAGAGAGAGGGAGGGAGGGAGGGAGGGAGAGAGAGAGAGAGAGAGAGACAGAGCAAACAAACAAATCGAGGAGAGGAAAAACATGGAGGCAGGAGGAACGCGGGAAGAGAGACGCGCCCACAGTAAATTGTTCAATGCGAGAACCCAACAACGAAGGGCTGCTGGGGACAAAAAGCATGCAAGAAGCGGAGGGAAACATGACAACTATGTGGATTCGGATCTGACCCATGACACACAAGAGCCGAATCAAAGTACGCAGAGTAGGTGTGACGCCACAACTACACGACGTTCATTTCTCATCGTGCTCATTTCTAATTGTGCTCGTTTCTATTTTTTCCTGGCCCCCTGGTGGCCAGGAAGAGGCCCAGGATAGAAGAACTAGAAATGAAAGGATCGTGCCCCCAATAAAATCAAGAACCTCTCTAATATTCAGAACAACCGAATGAATCACATCAAATTAGAAAAAAAAAAAAAAAAAAAAAGCCAGAACATCAAACCTGCTTATCATATTCCTTTCCTACTTTTGTTTCTTCTCCTCCTCCTTAACAACATCATCATCATCATCATCATCATCGTCACCCTCCACGTTTTGCTCGACAGCTGCTTGCGCAACACCGCGGCAAAGTCGTTGGAACTCTGCCGACACGCGCGCCCAGAGAATCCAGCACGGCACGGGGCGGTCTGGATGGGGCATCGCCCAAGACGGCCGTGACGGGATCCTCCGCATCCTACCCCTCCTCCCTCGTCCCTCCTCCTTCTCCTCCTCGTGCCGCTGTCGCTGGTGGCTTCAGAACCATCCGTCGACGCAGCCATTGCTCCTCTCCTCCTCCTCCTCCTCCTCCTCCTCCTCCTCCTCCTCATCCTCCTCCTCCTCCCGGGGGTGGCGGGAAGGTCCGGCTCAACACGGGCGACTTCGAG